AAAAAAAAAAAAAAAAAAACAAATGAGCTTCTTCCCTAGGGAGACACTCCAGTCGGCCATTAAGACCAATCACTCTCACTTCACCATCCTTTCTTCCCACCTTTCTTCCCATATGAAGGTTGAACCCTTCTCCACAGACACGCTTAGAGACATGGATGACGTTTTCTTGGACGACAACCTTCTTAGAGAGGAGACGTATCAGCTAGACACTTCGATCAGCGACGAGTCACTTTATTGTACGAACAATAGTTCTCCAGACGTTGGTTCATCGAGCGAGCACACATCCAGCCAGAAGCTTCTCCCAGGGCTCGAGGCCCACAGAACACTTCTGTCACCACTCCCCCATAAGGGGTTAAGTCGACAGAATCTTCGTATTGAAGAAACGAATAATAAAGAATTGTAAATTACCTAAACGAAAATACTTATGAATAATATGAAATATGAAATTTGAAATTATTAAAGAAAATAATACTATGGTAATAGATTATTTATAAGACAAGAGATAAAAGGATTAATTATGAATGTTAATAAATGTTTAGATAATTCTAAATTAATATTTTAGAAGACACTTGAAAATTTAAAAATAAATCAATAACAATTAAAAAAATATCGCAATCGTAAGTTATTATTATTTTTATCAATACAAAAATAATCTATATCACATCAATTTTTATAAAGACTTGATTTTATTTTAAAAATTAATTTTATTTTTATTTTACTTTTAATTTTTTTGAAAAAATGTTACCAAATGTTTTCCTGTACAATTAAGATTGAAAATACAAAATCATGATAATAAATTATTAATAATAAAACAAAACAAACATTAATTAGAGAAAGACATGTATACAGAGCATGTGCATAATTTCGATTCTTGGAGGATAATATAGGTTTCCCAGTAGTAGTCGGTAAAATCATATAAAACCTACACGCTCTTCACCCTTAAATACTTGATCATTACTCAAACCAAAAGCGCACACACACACACACGTATATATATAGAGTTCAAAAGAGTCAGCCTTGAGAGAAAAACAAAAATTCACAAAGAGTAAAAATCACGCAGAAACAATCAGAGAGAGAGAGAATGGGTTGGGTTAGAGGAGAAACCCTCGGTAAGGGTGGTTTTGGGTTCGTCTCCATCGCCAAAACCACGCAAGATCATAATCTGCCGCCGTTGATTGCCGTCAAATCCGCCAAATTTTCCGAATCCGAATCACTGAAGAAGGAGAAGGAGCTGCTCGACAAGTTCCAGTCATGCCCCTCTATCCTCCGCTGCTTCGGTGAAGAAATCACGGCCGAAAACGGGGAGAAACTCTACAACATATTGCTCGAGTATGCCTCGGGCGGATGCCTCGTCGACCACATCACCGTCAAAGGCCTTCCGGAAATCACGGTCAGCCGCTGCGCGAAATCCATACTCACGGCGCTCCTTCACATCCACAAGGCGGGCTACGTTCACTGCGACGTGAAGCCTCACAACGTGTTGCTCGTCGGCCAAGACGCGAAGCTCGCAGATCTCGGGAGCTGCTGCTGCAAGACGAGCTCCGTCGACGGAAATAGTAGGTGTGATGATTTCAGGGGCACGCGCGGTTATGTACGCGGCCCCGGAGTCGATAGCCCAGCAGAAGTACTTGCCGGAGTCGGACGTTTGGGCCTTGGGCTGCTCGGTTCTACACATGCTGACTGGAAAATCACCGTGGGCTTTCGACAACAAGGCCCAGCCGAAGGACGTTCTATTCAAGATCGGGTGCAGTGACCAGATTCCACAGATTCCGACAAACAACAGAATATCCAAAGAGGCTAAAGACTTTCTCGGAAAGTGTTTGGTGAAAGATCCGACGGCCAGGTGGAAACCCGATATGCTTCTCTCTCATCCATTTGTCAAAAAGGCCGATCGACCGACAGTTGCCGGAAAATATCATCATCACCATAGATTGTCTCATGGCATTCACTCTTTGGTGCCTCATTGTTTTCACCACCCAAAAGTGCAGGCCTGCTGATTACATGATCTCATTAGTCTTTGATCTATGTCTGTATACACTCATTCATGATCAATCTAAGTTGTTATTCACAATTCTTGTATGTGTCTTTTCTTCTCAACACTAGCTCGAATATATATTGATCAATCTAACTTGGACCTTTTAGATACAGCTAGCTTGAATATATATTGATCCTACACACAGAAAAAAAATATATATATTTTATGTATGTATCCTTATCATTCCTTATTTGGCCATTAATTAGATCAACTAAAGCAAAGTTTTTAACTCCACATTAATATAATAATTACACAAAAATATATATATATAGTTGTTAATTTGCCTGCAGAAATGTAAAACCAAAAAGATAAGAACAATAAAATAAAATTCAAAGAAAAGTAGAATGTGACCTGTATATATGCCGTCCGGATTATTATTATTATTATTATTATTATTATTATTATTATTATTATTATTATTATTATTATTATTATTATTATTATTATTATTATTATTATTATCATCATCACCGATCTTTGGAGGAAGGTGGTCTCTCGAGGAAGGTGGTCTGGATTCTAGAGTTGGTGTTGGTCACACACAAAAACAAAAAGAAAATAAAGTCTTAAATACTTTAATCGCTCGTGATTTGGAGAAATTATCTAATAACTACTAAGAATCTTAAAAGTAACTAAATAACTAAAAACATAAACGAAGATGTAGAAAAAGGTCTAATGTCGGAAATAATAACACCGTGTCCTAAAATGCAAGTCAAACGCATGATTGTTCTGTCTAAAAATTGAGACTCTCGTCCAAACACCTAGCGGTTCGCACCCAACAACAGGAATGAACATAAAGGATCAAGTAAAAACAGATACACAAGCCTAATGATAAGTCCCGATCCTTTAATTTAAGAGCACGAGTTCAGACATAAGCAAATATGTATTTGAATCAATGAAATTATGAACAATGCATGGCAAAAATTCAATTTTAGTCCACTAATTTGTCTATTGTTCATTTTTGGTACACTAACTTGTCCCTCATCAAAAAAGGTCCATTATGTTACACATTTCATCAGTTTTAGTACGCTAATCTCGTGGCCCGGGATTACGAGATGCCAAATCAGTTTTTTATCCTACCACGTCAACATCTTATCCCTCCACGTAGTTCCAATCCCGGTCCACATCATCCCGTAATCCCGCCAACTGGAGTAGTGTACTAAAATTGATGAAAAATGTAACATAATGGACCTTTTTTGATGAGGGACAAGTTAGCGGACCAAAAGTGGACAATGGACAAGTTAACGGACCAAAATTTAATTTTTGCCAACAATGCATTGACAAGCATACATATATATATATATATATATATATATATATATATATATCCCATTTGAACCATGGTCGGACAACTTATGCCCGTATAGTTTATAGGTTAACAAGCTAGACTAGATGTTGATCAAGCAAGTACTCATGAAAGCAAACAATTTAAACATGTATGAACTACCATTGAATTCAAATATTCAACATAAATTCGAACATGAATAATAAATTCCTAGCACTAGATGGATGAATTAATTCATGCACTAAATGAATTCCATGTTAACTGAAATCGAGAACTTGCGTTCATCCAACAATAATAATAAAAATTGGAAACTTACAATAATAAGTGTTCGCACTTAAAACGCGACAGATTTAAGTTTATAATTTTTTTTTTTTCTCAACAAACATCCTCTAACTAGTAATAGCGCACGTAAAAGTTCAATCACACAAAGAGTAGGAAATTGTGACAATTTCATATTAAATGAACTAATCTAAGAAAAAAAGAAAAGAAAAGTGGAGGTTTTGTTTATAAGAATAAAAATCATAAATAAAAATATAAATAAAATAAAATGAAGTAAATTCACTTTTCACTTAATTTATCAAATAAGAGGGAGATATTATGGTTTGTTACGAAATTATTCCGTTGAAGTTTGTAACCATTACATCAACCATCTTCAAAGATTATATATTGTTAGATCAACCATCATCGACGGTTATATAATAAGTTAACGATTATAAACATAGACGGAATAATTCAGTAAGCAGCAGTGGCGGAGCCACCAGTATGGCGAGGCATGGCGGCCGCCATACCTGGCCTCCGGCGAACACCCCCCCCC